GAAGGAAATCGGACCCTTTGTAAGCCGTTTGATGAGCCCGTCCGAACTAGGGGCGAGGTAAATTATGCCAATTATCTGAAGAGTTATTAAAACACGTGTTTAAACAGTAACCTCGCTCCTGCTGATGAAAAAAAAAACCAACCCCATAGCAGCGTGAAACAATACCGACGTCGTCGGATGGACGACGCGGATTTCTTTCGAAACGGAGTGTGCGCTGGAGAGAGGAGGTCGGAGGAGGTGGAGGAATCTCTCTCTCTATGTAAGTTGAGCAACAATATGAGGTCACAGGTACAGAGGAAGACGGGAAGGGGTTGCTCCCCGTCCCGGCTGTCTCCCCCTCCCCCGCCCTTCGCGTCCTGCGCTGCGGTGACAAAAGGCACCGGCTGAGTGAGGCTGGCTGCTGTGGCCATGATGTGCGGACCAGTTTTGAAATCACTGCGTGACGAGGAGAACAGTAATTGTTTTGACCAAAATGCTCATTGCGCGAACTCGCTCTCAGCGGGGGATGGGGGCTGGTGAATGGATCTTTATGAATGCCTGGTGATTTAGTCAACATAGGCCCAAGACCGCGAAATGTTCTATTTTCGTCATTTTTTTTTACTCTGCAGTACACCCAGAAAAGTGATAGTTAGCTGTGGCGACCATCTCATGGTTAATTCAGGGAGCACCATCATAAAATATGGTTGATGCAACATTATAGTGGTTCTGAGAACCAAAAATACAGGGTGGTCCAGAGACCCCTTCCTTTATTTTGCTTATACTGTACCGGATGCATACGTGCGGGCGGGTTGCATTCTCGCACGGGGCCGTAAGGCGCCGCGGTGAGCGACGGTAGGCAAGCCCGCCCGCATGCCTGCATGCGGTACAGTATAAGCAAAATAAAGAAAGGGGTATGTGGACCACCCTGTATGGTTTTCATCACGTTGTCATTGTTGTCTGAACCACATTTTATGGTGCTCCCTGAGCCATTGCTTAACATTTTCCTGGGTGTAATGAGCATTTGAAGAAGCTCACAGTTCACGATATCCTTGTCATTTCCTCTCATGAAATAAACGAGCGGATTTTTTTTTTACTTTCCCGCTTCGCGACGTTTTTGCGAATTGAAAACTGAGGCGCGGGAATACAGCGAGACGGATGAATCTAAAATAAGAAAACGGAGTGGGGTGGGTTGGGGAGAGATGATCGCGATCGGGCCCTGCGTGTCTGTGCGTGGGGTTGCATTGTTATGCATATGGATCAAGCCCGCCACGCCTTGCCAGTGTATGCACGGGAAGCAAGTGGATCTACCTTTCCCATTGCACGCCGGCAGGTACGGAAGGAGAGGGGGAGGGGGAGGGGTGTTGGCGAGGGAGAGGGGAGGGACTGTCTCATGCACCCCAAAAGGAATGAAGGCGATCCCGGTTTGGTTTCTTCACGCAACCCGCGCTGCCCCTTCCTGAGCGAATGTGTGTGAGTGTGTGCGTGCGAACAGGGCGGGCTACATTGAATCATTTCACAAAACTTTTAGAATCCTTCCCGCGGCTACTTTTTAGCAGATGATACGTATTTCATTGTTTAAAATTGTGTTGCGTGAAAAATGACAGATTATAACAGGTAAACCGTGCAATAATGCCGCATTCATTTATGGTTTTGCCTCTTTTCATTTTTGGAGGCAAAAAGCTCGGTGATGGAGTAATTGTCTTCCTAGTTTATGGCTATCGATGATGCGAGCCGACCTCAGAGGAGAGGGGGAGGGACGGGGAGGGAGGGGGAAGAGGACCCGGCTGGTTTACGGAGGTCATAAAACAAACCAAACAAGGGCCTTTTTGGAATGGACTCCGCGATGACGACCGACCCTTTGTTCGACTAATCCGCTCTCGGTCTGTTTGCAAAAAGGAACAGAGGCGCCCCCTCTCCCCCTCCTCCTCCCCCTCCTCCCACACAACGCAACGCCCCGTCGTGCCGCTGCTGGTTCAAACACCAGTAGTCATTGCGGCCGTTTAGATGCATTTATTTTTTACGGAGGGGCCTGTCAGGTGGGCACGACAGAGCAAGCCGTAAAACAGTGGTGCAGGTGTACCTCAAGAGTTTTGACTCCACCACGAGTTATTAGCATGACAATTCGCCGAAGAAAACGTCAGCAAAGATAAGACATTTGGTCAGGTGAGGTGCGGGACAGCGGGGTGAGCAGATGACATGCAGATTATTTTTGCTATCCGAACTAGTGTAGGTACCCGTGTACTATTTGAGAAACGACCTTACCAAATTTCTGAGCTGGGGGCAGGGGGCACATGCTGGTAAATTTGGGCAAAATTTGTACGAGACGTCGTATGCCGTGTAGTGTTCTCGTCCAGGCTACCCTGTTCGCATCAGTGTCGGCCTGCAGACGAATAACACTGTCCGAGTGGTGCTGCCTGGCTCCGCCCCTGGCACGCGCCGGCCGGCCTCGTCCTGGGGCCCGGAGGGGCCGCCGCCGCCGCGTTGGTCCCGGGACGAGTCCGAATGGACGC